AAACTGAAAAATTACAGGTATTTGAGTACATTTTCCATTTTTTATATCTTTTCATTTTTTTCAGGGACTAGAAAAAAATTTTAATATGAAACATTTTAATATTTAACAGGAAATTCAAGCGAAACATGCAGTAGAACGTCTAGCTAATCAAATAGGATATAGTATTGGTTCTACACCACAAAATGTAGGCAATTATCGCACACAATATACGAATGGTTTACTTTCCTCGTCTTCTTCTTCCGATGATGAAGAGGAACATGAAGTGCACGATGAGGAAGATAACGACAGAAGTGGAACAGTTGTATTTACTGTAGATTCTATAGAAAGCTAACAAAGACTGTTAAATATGCACGATAAATTAATTCTAAGAATATTAATTTATTTTTGCTTTAATGACATCGTTTTCCTTACACGATTCTGTATATATTTCAATTTTTTTTGTCGAGTTTGGAGGTGAAAGAGTATTCTGAATTAAGATATTTAAGAGACTTTATTTTTTGTTTTTGTAACACATATGTTAATTGTATCCAAAATTATTAATGATCGCTGTGTACGGTGCCGTTGCTTTGGCAACTGATTCACCAGCTTGCTTAGTAAGTTTCTGCAAACAAAATTTAATAATTAGTAAATCTTGAATATTTACATACATAAAAAAATCTTTGGAAAGAAAATGGATGTAAAATATGACCAAATCTTTAATGTATTAATTACCTTAAGTTTATTCCTCTTTTGAACTTCAAGAATGGCTCTAGCACGCCTCTTGTTCTCCAACGTGCGAACCACATCCTTATACTTCCATCCAACTTCATGAGACAATCTACCCACGTGACAGTACTGAAAATCAAAATTATATCAGTATTCATATTGCTTCAATATTGCGACAAACTATTTTGCATAAAATTTTATAACTCAGTTTAAGAGATCATCATAAAAGTCAAGTAGACTAATTTCAGACGCAAATTACCATACCATCATTGTTCTTTCATTAAATAGGAACAAAATTCAAAATAAAAGAGAAATAAATTTAAATATACATAATAATCTTACTTTTCTGCCTGGTTTGAGGCACATCACTCTCATAGCACCAGGTACAACAACTCGCTTTCTGCGGTCATATGGTGGTGGACAACCTTCGTAAACCTTCAGTCGCCTAAGAGCATCTTTGCCTCTTTGTGTTTTATGTGGGATCATACCTGTAAACGAGTCTTTTTAATATCTCTTCTTACACTTGCTTCATTATAAGATAGCATATGAAATCATGGCATCATAAAAAATAATTCTTTTCATGACCTTATCAAATAATGTAGGTAAAGGTAAATGTTTGTTAATCATGTGCAATATTCTTATTTTATATTATGGTAATATAATCTCAATTTGAAAGCGTACCACGAACTGTTTTCCAGAAGATCTTGCTTGGCGCTCGGAAGTGGAATGGACCACGTGCAGGATTTACGTTACATCTTTTCCTCAGAAAAGACATAAATTTCAACTTGTTCCTGAAAATCGAAAAATATATGTTTAGTAGCTAGATTATCTCAACATTAAAATAAGATTACATAAAATTTCATGATTCAGTTTAGAATTTCTATCATAAAAGTTGGAATAGACTAATTTCAGACGCAAATTACCATACCATCATTCTCTACTATATATAATACTAGATAATATTAATTATACTATTGTTTACGCGATTTTTTCTTATATGAAATAAAGTAGAGTGAAATAGTACTAATATCAATAATAGCTTACTATCTATTCTTTTTAGGTAATAAAATAATAAATATTATAAATCAATTTAACCAATAAGACTCCTTGTAATAATTAGATTGCAAAATAAATTTGAAATTAATTTAAAATTTCACATATTTAGTATTTTGACAAATATTTATAAAACTTTAAATTAATTTCAAATTTAGTGTTATAATTTAATTACTTTGTTTAATTCCTATTAGTCTTCTTTGTTCATCATTTAATAAATTTTATTTTAATTATTATTAGTTAATTAAATACATCAAGTACTAAAATAAGAGGTGCGTTCTATTTTACAAAAAAATATTACATGATATATTATTTTATCATTGCTTCGGTGAACAAGGATAAAATAGTACATCGTGTGCACCAAAAGAAACCAATGCATCCAAGACAAGATTAATAAGGATTTGACAAACCTGAAGAAGTTACCGCTAATGTTGAGTTGTTCGCTGCGTACGATGATAACTTTGTTGCCTTGCAGAATGGTTTTGGCAACAATTGCAGCTAATCGTCCAAGTAAATGGCCGCGGCCATCTATTAATATTGGCTAAAACAGTAATAACCTCCACAGAAATTGAAAATTGATCATCGCACAGTACAAATAATTCTTGCTTCTACAATATGTTTGTTCGCGTTGCTTGCATTCTTTACACTCAGCATCTTCGATCTTTTTTCAACACATGAATATACATTTATCTCATTTTAAGTGCAAACACTTTTAAAAATTTCAAGGAACGAGGACAGACATATGAGGTCTATTCACATTGCATGAAATTCTCAAATATTTTTGCACTTAAAATGAGATAGATACATATTTTGCCTTAAAAAAGCGAAGATGTAGAGTATCAAAAGTGCAAGCAACGCGAACAGACCTGAAATGTATTTGCGTTACTTGAACTCCTTAAACATTTTTGTACTTAAGATAAATATATATTCAGACGTTGAAAAGAAAGAACACCAAGATACTTGCAAAAAGTGCAAGCAACGTGAACAAACCTATAATGTATAGAAGTATTATATGGGAGCCACAAGATTCGCAATACATGCGATACATGCGATTTGGAGGACGAAAATATTAAATCGAAGAAATCAAATCTAGTTTGGAATTTATACCGTTCGATATACAATGTGTTCCGATCTCCGCGTGGAATATATGATCAGCTTCGAATGCTACCACGTGCATGACGTTAAGTAACGAAGCAGTTTTTTGAGTAACAGCGAATTTCCGAGGACTATCAAAGGATTCATGCATTACTCCACATGTTAAGTAATCGCGATCGCGTATATACACCGCTTAAGAGTTACTTAAATTGTCAGAAATATCGAATTTCTGGATACGAACCTTCTCGCTGAAGCCCGTCATCTTGGGACCTTACCGGAAAGGAGTCACAATGAGAGAAACACGCGAGTTTCTACCGGAAGACAACTACGCCGCGCGCTGCGCGCAGAGTAACACAGTATAACCAACGTCGAAATCTGTTTTTACGATTTTTCCCTAGAAGATAAGAAAATTTTCTCTACAAGTGAAAAAAATGAAGATTTCAACAAATGATTGAAAAACGATTGACTTAAAGTATGTTTTCTACACTATATTATTTGTTGTTTTCTATACTAATTCAGTTATAAAAAAAAAATGGTGAACATAACGGTTGAGTGAACGCTCAGTAATTGTTGTCTACGATTGGAGTAAACTTTTAGATCCACAATAAATCTAGAAGAATGTACCAATAGCTACGATCCATAGAGAAAACTGCTCAATGGCTGCGTTTAGCAGAGCACAACAATTTTACAATTGTTTTGTGATTGTCTACTGAGATAGGATCGTTCTCCTAGATCTAAAAGTATAATTCAATCAGCGCGAAGAAAATTTTCAACAGTTGCAAAATAAACGTTCTGCTGAACGTAGCCATCGAGCGCTTATTGATTTTTTAAGTTTAAAGCCAATATTCATAGTCGATTTTTATATTTAAAAGACTATCTTAAAACTGTATACTGTATCCACAGTACTAAGACAGTCTTTTACAGCTCCTGCACATAAAACGTGGCAACGCTTGCCAATCAATTTATTCCTTTTTCATAAAAGCCAAAGAATGATGCTACTATCTACGGAAGCCAGAACAAATTATGAATACACAGTCCGAATTCAAGTCAGTACTTGAGAAATTTAAGAAATAATTGAATAAGTTCGATCAGAATCCATTAATTTTGAATAATTTTATATGTACCCTAATTAATTTAATCGGTGATTAAATAAATTATCAAGTAATATAATTGTTATTTTGACATAAATTTAATTATTAATTCTTCATAATTCAATATAAAGATTAGAGGTTTATTTGCATCGCATGCTCTAATATGCTTCAACATGCTCCATAGCTTCTGCTCAATACAACGTGCTCGTTGGAGTAAGATCATGTTATAATAATTGGAGTATGTTGAAGCTATGCAACGCGAACAATTACTTTAAAAATATAGCTAACAAAATTATCGTAAATCGCAAAGAAAATAGTAGCTTTAGATAAAAGTAGAAATGATGATTATGTTAGACCGATAGTATTTCAAAAATATGTATGAAAAAATATACAAGATAACAGCTGTGCTTTTTTTATATATTAGGTGTTGGAATTAATTCGTAGCGTTTTTAATGAAAGAATGTTATTTATTTCACATGAGCATTAAAAAATACATTAATGAAAGTACTTCCCATCTCTTGTAAAACGCTACGAATTAATTCCAACACCTAATAATATTTAAAAATTATAATCAAAATCTTTTATTTTGTGCATCTATTTCAGAGCAATGTCATCATTTCAGATAAAATATTTTTTTTTTAATAATTTTAAATTTTATTAGTCATTATTAGTAAGATATATATGTATCATATATTATTACATGTATTACTACATACTATTGTGAGTATGATCAACGTAATGTTATTATAAATGCTTTGAAGTATTCTTTGATGCATTCATAAATTTCTTTTTTCTGAATCAGTCAAAATCAAACGCTTCAAACCATTTGTAGTGATCACACCCCATATATTATGTAATTAATAGTATATAGCAAAGTTATAATAATTTACAAAATACAAAATTAAAAAATTTAAAGGAAAAATACATATTATATAAGATACATTGTGTAAGATAAATTTACACATTATCTTTGACATATTTCTTACATTTATATTCGCATGGTCAGTCATCTTTTTTTAAATAAAAAATATCTTATAAAAAATATCTTATTAATCTTCAGTATTTACTGAGAACGTCTCCTATATTCCTCTGCTTTGTCAACAAACCATGGTTGCAAGAAGATATATCTTTCGTTATCAGGAGCTTCTTCAGTATAACTTACAATATCTCTAATGAATGGTGTCCAGCGAAATTTATACATGCATTCATTATAATCTTTAGTAACAATTCTTTTGACGTTGTCTAGAAATATCTTGCAGAATATTTTGCTCCTGTTTATATCACAAGATGGCTGCAATATAAATACATAATAAATTCTTAAATCAGCATTGTTGTACAATTTTAAATAAAATTATTTACCTCTGAAAGCTTTGGCAAATCACACATTGAATATTCTTTTATTATTCTCACTATACTTTTGTCTTTTAATCCACATATAATTCTATTTATATTCGCCAAATAGTTCTGACTCCACCAGTTCATCACTCTAAGGCAGGAAATTTTGCTATATATATTTCCATCTTCATTAAGTAATGGAAATGTTTTCAACTCGATTAATTCGAAAGTTTTTCCTTCAAGTGTATCCGCTATAGGCTGTTGCGAAGAAATACCATCTATTTCTGCTCCGTATAATAACGAATGATTGTCAAAGTTGGCTTTAAACATACAGTAAAAATGTTCACACTCATTAAGAGGTCGTTTTGGATCTGGTGTATGTGATGGATGATCTAAAAAAGTTCATATATTAATTAAATTAATTATATAAATATTAAACTAAATTAATTATATAATATATTCAACAAGCACAATCCATTTTGTTTGTTAAATATATCTGAAGTAAAAGCAATACATAATTAAATTTTCATATAAATACCTGCTACCATGTACTGCTCAAATTTATATCCCCATGAATGAAGTTGTTTTTCTGACATTGATGCATTGACATAATGATATTCTTTTTCATCCGAATAAAACTCACATAAATATATTGTACCACGATATTTACTGGCGCAAATAATCCATTCGTCATGTATTTTATATGGGCTACATAATATTGTTTTTATTGTCCCACGAGAAGCAATAAACTCAATATCCAACCTAATTAATATTATTTTTAATTAGAGCAAAAATGATTAAGAGTAATATACTGATAATATAAAATTGCAAATAATTTTTTTATATAATGAGTAAAAAGTGCTATCTACTTAATCATTTATTCATTTATTGTAAACTATACAGGATGTCCTACACAAACAACACTCGTCATTTTAAGAATGGATCTTTGGAACATTCTAAGAAAAAATCCTTTAATACGAAAATATCGAAGCTATAATAGTTTTTAAATTAATAGCGATTAAAATTTATTAATCATGGAGTTGATATTGACATTATTTTGACATTGAAGATGATTTTGATCGCCAAAATGACGATAAATAACGTCAACTTGTTTACTGAGAAAATACCAATTTAGCTACTACATGTTTTAAAATAAATTCATAATCATCGTTCGTCTGGTAAACATTTTGTAATAATATCGTCATACCTGAGCGCGAAATATCCGTGATTAGTAAACTTTAATCGCTATTAATTTAGAAACTATTATACCCTCAATAATGTTTGTTAATAATTCATAGAAATCAAATATAAGCGTTATAACTTCGGCGTTGTTCATCTCCTAAATATAAGATTGGACCGATAAAAAAATACATAATGTCTTTCAGAGTTTTGTGTTTAATAACATTTTTCAAAAAGAATCGAATCGATTTCAATATGTTGTAACAGGCGCCTTGTTAAAAGTTACGGTAAAATTTACTAAAGTTAGATTAAAAGTTAATTTTAAAAAGTATTAAAGTAAAACGTCCTAATGATCAGATGCATGCTATACCTCTATGTCCGAACACTTATACACGATTTATTATTATTAATCTCTGTTTTTTTATTACAATATTAATTTAATTATATTTAAAAATTATTTAAAAAAGCATTTGAGATTAATAATAATATAAACAAGTATATATATAAAGTTTTATATAAATGTCCGGATATAGCTATATTAGATACATGCTCGGTCACTCTCCGGCATGTTTATATCTTATTGTATATTTATATTTTGTATTTTAAATTAAAATATAATTTTTTTTTAAATTAGATTAATTACTCTAAACAAAAAATAATAAATAATAAATACAGAACATATAAAAGTCTAAAATATTAGGTGTTGGAATTAATTCGTAGCGTTTTACAAGTGATGGGAAGTACTTTCATTAATGTATTTTTTAATGCTCATGTGAAATAAATAACATTCTTTCATTAAAAAACGCTACGAATTAATTCCAACACCTAATATAAATTTTATGTTGAAAAACCAAGAAATTACAAAATAAAAGTTATTATATTCTAATCGATTATAACATATTTCGACATTTCAATTAAGCCCTTTTCAGATATAATAAACGCAATGATGTTACTATTATACAATAAAACAGTATTAATAGTCATAGAATTTGATTACGTATGACGAGAGACCGGATGAAAGTTGAACAGAGGAACGGAAATACATATACATCAAATTCCAAGACTATTAATACTATTTTATTTTAACATTACGTTTATTATATCTGAGAAAGGTCTAATCGAAAGGCTGAAACATGTTATAATCAATTAGAATATAAAAACTTATATTTTATAATTTTTTGGTTTTTCAACATAAAATTTATGTTTTAGACTCTTATATACCCTATATATATATATATAATATTCGCTGCATTTTTATATGGAAATATATTTTTTCTTTAATTAAGGAAAGAAATAATTATTAAAAAATTACGTACACAAAAAATTTAGATAAAGGTACTGATTATTACGGTATTAATAATTATTATAACAATAATTATTATAAAAGTATTAATAGTTATTATAACAGAATATCTGTGTTGCATATTATTTAAAATAATGTACAATAATAAAAGTTTAACGAAACAGACTTAAACAAATAACTCTTTTTTTTTCCTTCTTTTAAAGAACAAGTAACTACCATGTCACTAGTAAGACATTACGCTTTTTACGATCATTACACTTTTTCTAATTGTCTAATGTTTAAAATTTAAAAATATTGACATTCAAAAATTAAAAAGTCTTAACTTTAAAAAAGTTAATAAGTTAAAATTAATGTCTTAATTTTTTAACTTTATTATACGTAATTTTTAATTCATTTAACTTATAGTTACTATTGATCAAATTGCTTAAAATGATTTATCAACGTACCAACGTTCTTCTTGTACTGATAGTGGTTTTTCAAGTCGATGAAAATTATTGGAAAGCCATCTTAATAAGTTATCCAATTTGAGATACGAAGTAGGTCTGTGACGGGTAGACATAAAATTTTTGTTGAGATCGAAATTCACATTGTTAGGATCCGAAGGAGGAATATAATACTTTAATTGCGATAAATCGGCATGATATTGCAAATCACCATCAATACTAAAATGTCCGATCAATTCAGTCGTTAACGTTGGAATTATTTGCTCAGAAAAATTTATAAAATCAATTTGAAACGACATTGTAGCTCGTTTATTATTTTCACAAATAATAGCACAAAATCTTGCTCTATTATCTACAGAAGCTCTACAAAACTTCGTGAAAATCTAATATCTTTACGTGATACTACGTATTGTATCCACTGACTAAAGGGGGACTCCCCAATAGAGAGAACTCTAACTTCCAACTGCTCGCTCTCAGAGATGCTTAAAAAGCAACGCTTGGTCACGTGATCAGAATCTGATGCCTCTTCCTGTATATACTTCTTTCTTCTCAGAGCTCAGGATGTGTCGATCGGGGAGACGTTAAGTATATTATGATACTCTTTTTTTGTCATTCTACTTTTATTATTCATAAAAAAACAATGATAAAATCAGATAGTATAACACAAATAACATTAATAGCAAAACGCACTCTGTGTGTGATTCTGAAAGTTGAATTCATCATATTACTCGGTTAGAAATTGTACACATAATATACAAGACATTATTATTTTTATGCATTTAATTTCTATCCAGCATTAATTTTGATCACATAACCTATTTTGATGCTGAAAATGAATGTCGAGCATTAAATGAGATTCCTACAAATGAGAAAGAGTAGAAAATAAAAATAAATAAAATAATAATTTGATAACGATCGAAAGAGGAGAAGAGATAGGAGCATAATATATGTGAGGCATAATAATATTTGTACTATTTTTTTACTAATTTTTATGTATACGAGGATCATTTGAAAAGTTTTGAGCCTTAGCATGAAGGCATTATTATCTTGTCAAAACTAGTTCCTCTATAGAAGAATTCTAGTCAAAATCTTCTGGTACTACAATCATACAAGATGTGAAAATTGTAGCTATTGTGGACGCTCAGTTGTTGTTTGACAGTCGATGTCAGTGTTTTTTGGATCGCTTAACGTTTTTGATCGAATTAGACGAAATTCAATTGTAATATTGCTGAGGATGATTATAAAGCGAATCGAAACGTTCAAAATTACGAAATAAAGAAGACATCAATGTTACGAAAAAGTAATTTTACTTATCTGTGTAACTCCTTATTAACCTTGAAATTTATTATTATTATTATTATTATAAGAATTAATTATAATATAGGGAAGCCAATGAAACGCTTAATTTTTATTTAGGAGACAACTAGTTCTACGAATGGACTTATCAACAGAGAATATCGATTACATTGAAAACAATTCGAAAGCTGTCTAATATGCCATTATAATCATATTATGTTCCTGATAAAAGTATAGAATGAATTTCTTCCTTAAATAATGACATTATTATATTATTTAAATCTTACGAAGATATAATAACAGTAGATAATGGAAATAAGAGAGAAAGAGAGAGAATATAGGATTATTTTCAAACATTTATAATAAATAAAAATGTAATAAAAAAAATATATAACTATGTAAAATTATTTTATATTAAACACACAGCAAATACAAAATGTTAATGAAATACCATTGAGGAATTTAATTTTGGATTGAAAAAGCTAGATTGCTTATCAACAAAAAATGTGATTATTGATAGATGCTGAAATATACACTAAATATACATATATTTTACACGTTGAGCGTAAAAAATATACATAAGTAAACAATATTAAAGAACTTTATTTTAGACCGTATATGTGAGAACACAGTTAATATTAGAAATTAAAGACCTATAACAGTCGAAGCTGCATCTTTTTAATGTTTAAAATAATTCAATCATGAATTACTATACACATAGTATATATAGAATAATTGTATGTACATATTTGCATATATATCATCTTTGTAGTTTTTTTTTAACTGCGTCAAATTGTTTTTCCGGACTTTAAACGCAATTAAACTTTAGTAATCGCGAATTAATTATATTAGGTGTTGGAATTAATTCGTAGCGTTTTACAAGTATTATTATTTTCAACATTTTTATAATATGATGCCTGATTAGTAGCATCAAATCATTAAAATTGCTTGTCAATTTAATAAATCGGATAGCAGATAATAATTGATATATGTATAATAGTTATTTCTATTATCTATAAGGGAATAGAACGAAGCATGCGCTATGTATGTGTAAACATTGCATTTATTTAACAAGAAAATTGGATTACAGAAGGTTGTTTTTAGTTCATAAATTTAGAAAAGTATTAACTTCGACAGAAAAATATACTGCAAATTTTCCTAAGTGACATAAATTTGACGCCTGCAAATTTACTTTACATTATAATTACTTCTTAATTTTATAATAACATATTGAAAAGTTAAATTAGGCACTTAAAAAAGTATTAGATAGGATGATAATGTAATATATTACAGAAAGGTATATATAGTCGAATATCACATCAAAATTAAGATATCAGTCTTTTCATTAGCCAGAGGAATATTACAAATCACATACACATGAAGAAAAATATATGTATACTACTTTATATCTCACATTTATCTTGCAAATTAATAGATGTTATGTATTTATATTTCATTCATGTAGATTTGAAGTTGAAGTATATAATCGCGATAGCAATTTACTTGTTAGACTACAAATACAATTTTATTTTTCACATATTATTTCAAGAACACCATGTACAGTATTCCGTATTTTTTGGAGATTAATCAGTAGAAAATTGTATTAATAAAAGAATGGAAATAGTATATCCCCCTTCGGCAAATCAAAAAAAAAGTAGTATCAAGCTTGAGTGTTTCTTCTAGTAAGGATTATTGAAGAAATAATTTTATAAATGAAAATTTAACACCTTTCGATGTAATTAAATGTTACTTGTTTCCGATTAATGATTACACGAAGTAATTTTAACTTGAATATACTTACGAGATGTCTTTTAATGAAATTGATAATTTGAATGGTCAATTCAGGAACACATAATTGTGTAATATGTAATTGCAACTATTAATAAATGGCGCAACTATTAAATGATGAAAAAAGAAATAAATATCTATGAAAGAATATTTGCGAAAAAGCACTTTGCTGAGAAATAAAGATTATATGTTTATTTATATCGAAAAATATTCTTGTAGCTTTTCGATTTTCAACAAATTAGAAATCTTCACTCTAGTTTTATGTATATATTGTCGATTTATATCAAAATTAATGTAAGTTATAAATCATTCTACTGACAAAAATATATTATAAATTTTAGGATAGTTACTGGAATTTAGAAAATTTTTTAATCCTTTTAAAAGAAACACAGTCTTGTTAACCGCTACACTAGTCATACATTGACTTTATATCTGAACAATATTAAAAACGTAAATAATTAATTCGTTTCGAATTTTCAACATTTTTTTTTATTTTTAATAAGCCTTTATCTTTTTTTCTTTTTAATATTTTGCAAATGACAATATTAAAAGTTTATATTTTCCATAATTCTACGCTCATATATATTTTTTTTTTAGAAATAGCAACTAAGTATACTACTTCCTCCTTTTTTATTTTTATATGTAATCGCAGGATATTATTTTAATATCAGATGCATATTTATAGTTTCAAACATTTTTAATAAAGACTATGCTAATAATTATTTTTTGTATCTAATAATCATTTCTTAACGTTACAAACGAAATTTCATTATTCTTTACTATGTTTTAATTTCCTCTTTTTCATATACTTAATAAAGACTCCATAATATCACGACATAAGCTCATGTTAACAGTAACTACGATAGCCGCATATAAAAAAAAACATTTTATATTTTATATTCATTGATATTAAATGAAAAACTTATTGTGTGTGAGATAGTGAGTAATATACATTGGAGAAAATTGTATTAAATAATTTCAATACAACCATTACTTAGTAATTATTATACTGTAATCGTGTAACTATTTAATTATCTATAAAAAAAATTGATTATAATGCAAAAAAATATTCAATTTTGATATTAAAGATCAAATGTACTAATATCATTTGTCTCTAAACTTTAATATCGCGATATATGCACTAAAGTTTCTGACTTATATTAAAGTTACAATCAGTTAGGCTTGTTTAGATCTCTCCAAATCTTTAATTAGATAATGCTTCGCAATTAAATAATTAAATAGCTACACGATTACAGTATAATAATTATTATTATAAAGAAATCATTCAATGTGATTTTTCAATGAAAACATTGGTACTATTAATAACTGCTTTTTACGTCGTGCTCAAGTTTTACGTCTAATATCAATATATGCGAAATCTCGGCTATCGTAATTATCATTAACATAATTTCTACTATAATAAAGTGTTTAGCAAGTAGTGTTGTGAACTTTCACGCATCACAATCCACTTATTAAATATATAAAGATAAAGATATTAAAAGGTAGTGAAGAATATTGAAATTTCGTTTATAACTTTAAAAAATAGTTATAAAATGCAAAAAAGACCATCAACATATTGTTAATCAAAAATATCTCAAATAGATTGCTAATCATGCCACCAAAAATGAACATCTGATATTAAAATAATATCCTGCAGTATATTATGTTGTATAAGTTTTTCATATAATGCGTTACAATTATCTCATTAAAGATTTAGAGAAATCTTTCAATCTAAACAAGCCTAATTGATTTTAATATAAATAATAAACTTTATTGCACACATCGTAATGTTAAAGTTTGGATAAGAATGATATATCTGTGTATCCAATCTTTTATATCAGAGTAAAATACTTTTTTTGCATGTTAATAAATGCAGATAGCAACATTTCTTTCGGGGTGTTACATGTACAGTTAGTAATAAATTACATACGTATTATTAACTATATATGTAACATCCTGATAATGTACTTGTGATTTTAATCCTCCAAAAAGGAAAAATAGGATTTTAAACGGAGGACACATTTGTACCTTGCACAAATAATATAAATTATTTAAAAATAAAGCTCAGTATCACAAGGTAAACATGTCACACAAGACGATCTTATCATTCTTCGTCACTTATCGTTAGCCCCCAATCAGTACCAATCATCATTAGATGTATCTCGCCAAACACATCATTTAAACTATATCTTCGCTTCAGTCTTGTATATGTAATATTTAATATGAATATAATTTTAGAGAACATGTCCGGATCATAGACTGATCTAGCTGTGTTAGTCAAGTCAAATGGTTCTATAATATTGCAATAGTAGATAAGTATAATGAAAAGTAATACTTATGTGAAGAACATTCTATTACCTTCAATACACAGATATTTCCATTGATAAGGATCATTTTTAGATGATTGTACCATACGACATTCCTCTTTCGGTATTTTGCTTGCTAAACGTACGGATATCGCGTATTGGCTGAAGCTAATTTAATAATACAAATTAAATATCACCACTTATATTGTAATATTACATACCGTTCGAAATTACTTACTCAAATTCAACATAATATTTAAAAAATTCAAACAATAATTCCCCTAAAGACTGATGGTTCTCAGGTAAATGATTGGATGATGGAATATTCAAATCCTCATGAATATTGATATTATAAATATCTGCGTCCGACTTAAATTTGTTTGCAAACATTGAATGCAAGCACGGAAGAACAGGAGGATTGGTACCACCTATAAAAACAACACTTACGTTCTATTTCAATTACGAATAGAATGGGCTACAAAAAAAACAGTAAGAAAAATTGTAGCATGCATACATTGTAAGAAATGTATAACCATAAGGACTAAAGAGTAACTGGACAGTGTCCTACACTTTGGGTTATTAATATTATGCCATTGAGCCCAAAGTTTAACAACAAGCGCTAATGGTTTTACTCTCCAATCAACTGTAAAAAATATTTATACAAATAATGATTAAAATATTTGTTTCAATACATAAGTACATATTTATTTTAAAAGTACAAAAGTTATTTATCGAACTTACGTTTGGAATAACAATATAGTAGATGTGTGTTTTTGACGCCAACAGAATTGTTAAAATTCATATCGATTTTAAATTTTCGTACTACATCAAAGAATGTGATAATAGGTACTTTTGCATGTATAATTTCGAGTTGTTCGACGAAATCTGGATACAAAGAGTTATTTATTATTAAACTATTGCAAATAAATACATTAAATTTTTACGAACTTACTCAGTAAATATCAATTAACAATAATATAACATCAATGTAACATTAACATAATTTCTCACTCAATAATATAAATGGAATATAACACATGTGTTATATTGCGCTTATATTGTTGAGTGGGAAATTATAACATTGATATTTTATTACTGTTAATTGGTATTTACTGGGTTATATATTTATAAATTTTTACATACTACTTTGTTTAAGGTGCTTTAGCACTTCTAATAAATGTTCTATAGCTATACATCTTACATCCAGTTCTGTGTGTTTCATTAAAAGACACACATCAACGTCGCTATCATTTGAACCAAATCCATTCATTGTTGAACCAACCACAAATACACTACAGTTTGGATATAAAGTCTAAAAGAATTATTTTTTAATACACATGTAAGTAAAAAAATACACGTGTAAAAATATAAATAGTAAATATTAGTATGCTATTTTGAAATTAAAGATATCTTGTTTTTATTTTAAAGATATCTTAGCAATATTTTATTTTACTATATTAAGGCCTTATTCAGTATCTCTTAACGACAGTGTCGGTGTCGTTACATTGTCGTTGTATAAGTTTTAAATGTGGTAAGAGAGACATAATAAAAATGTAATGACAACATTATTGTTGAGAGTTACAGTATAGGAATTCAAATCTTATTTATCTTTCCCTTTCTTATATTTTACCTTCATGTATGTGTTAAGATGTTTCCATAGCATCATTTTCTTTCTATAAGTAGTTTCGGTTTGTTGATGCGCAATAAATTTACGCCAAATTTGTTCGGATAGATCATCCCATGATGATCCAGTAACAAGATTGTTTGGTACAGAAGTTACTTGTACTAAATGAGATCTAGCAAGAAACCTATCAGGGGCTGCAATACATCCGGGAAACATATCATAATTCGATATTTCAGAATATTTACGATTTCGCGGAAATCTTTGTGAAGATGTATTTTCGTTCTTGCCTAGAAACGAATCCTAGTTAATTTGAAGTAAATTACTTTCTAACGTATGCATTTTACAATTTTAGATCCTAGTATATTACTGTATGTTATTAGATAGAAAAAAAAGGTTTGCCTGATAAATATCTTCTTCTGTTCTGATAATTTTGTACATATGATCTCGGAGTGGAAGTACCGTAACTACTGTTGGCCCGTTGAGGTGGATAAAACTGATGTGCAGAGGCACTTGAAATTAAGCCATCTACTGTATTATTATATGCTCTATTATCTGGATTTACTTTATGATGCTTTTTGCTAAAAATTTAATTTTAATTAATGATTAATGATTTAGTTACATATGTAAATATATATGTTGTGTATGTATATATATATATATATATATATGTATATATATTTGTACACGCGTGTATTGTGTATTTTTTTTTTATATTTAATGTTTTTCTTGAAATTACAAAGATATTACACTTTCTTATCCTTTTTTCTAATTTTGCTATTAGTTTGTTTTATTGTTTTTTTCTATTTCATTTGCCAAATTTCACTTACTCTTTTTCCTTCTATTTTATTTTCTCTGCGATATGTACTTAATATAGATTTTATTTAAAAGAAAAAAACAATATGTTTGGAAATCTGGCAGTAACAGATAATTTTGAAAATGTGTATAATAATTACTTTAGCCACTGTCCTCTTACTGAACTCGTAGAATCTCGTTCGTCTGAAGACTCTGTTAAACTATTGTCAATGTAATGTTTATTTGGAGTTGGTGAACGAGAACTAAACCCACTATCGCTATTATATGCCTCGTATTTTGAGAAATTCCTATATGAACATCGTCTGCTATTTCTGTTATTCCAGCTTGGTTTCTTTGTCGAATTAGTATTTGTAGGCTTGAAATTATAATTTGAGAATGGTATAATTGATGAGTTGTTGGATGTATTTATGCGTCTTTCCCAATTTATAGAAGATGAATTATTGTTTGACTGTATGTATTCTATACGTCGTAATGATGGTACATCGACACCTATTAATTGTAATAAATCCAGTGGAGATCCTGTCTGTAAGAATATTATTTGTGTATTCCAACAAAGAAATATTATATGAATATAACACAAGACACATTCATAAATGAAAACAAATTCTGTCATATTGTATAACAATTTAATATTAATGCATATTATTAAAATTCATAAACTTGATAAAATTTGTTTAAAAATGTTTGAATATATTATCATATATGTAAATTTAAATTTCTCTCTCTAAATGATATAGATAATTACATTTTTATGTAACTCGTAAATAAATTCTTATTGGCTACATTTACAACAACTCTTCCATTGATAAACGAAGGATTGCAATAAATGATACTAACACATATAATTTAATTATACGGTAGAACATATAATACATAGTATGTATAATTTGAATTAAATTTAAAAGATTTAACATAAACCTGTATCGTACGATGCCTGTTGTGTCCAGAGATATTCGGACCATATTGAGGGAAATCAGATTGATGCAACGCATTTACACCATTAATATGCAGAGTATGACTTTGTGCTGGTGGACATTGTCCACTTGTTTGGTGTCCTCCCATTATTTGTACCATCATTTGTGATGGATATACAGTATGATACATAGTCAAATAAGTATACAAGATATTAGATCTCCTTTTTGGATTGTTTTAATTCTTAATGTATCAATATATTGCACTTAATAGCACTCATAAATATTTGTAATCAATAAGGCAATCAATAAAGCACACAATGTTATTATTATTATTAAACGTATCTTGCAATAATTGGTATTTCATCAAATGAATGTACACACGTACACTTAGAAAAGCTTCAAGCTTCTTATTTTTTCTTTCTTTTTTTTTTCTTTTATATGTATATTTTATTTTTTTAATGTAGTTTTGCAAGATATTATGTTGTATCTTTTGCGATCTTACTATGTTAAATCTAAAATTTAACACAATAGATATATATATAATCAGCTGTAACGTAAAGAGACAAAACTGTATAACAATTAGGAATTTAGAAATAATGAGATACTATAATTCACTCTGTCTATCTCTTGTCATGGAATTTATAAATATGTATGCATGTGAAATATACAGAGCTGTAAAAATAAATTGTAATGTAAATTAATAACTGTACTTAACGAATAATAATTTCACACAAATATAATATAATAGCATTGCATTAAAGAAAAATGCATATATAAGGTAAACAAAACAGTCTGTGTATATTTTTAATAGATTACTATTAAATTTTCTAGCCTCAAAACATTGTATTACTTATAATAATATTATATATACAACTTTGCCTGTTCAAGATGCTTCCGAAGCTTAATTTCCAAACATTTTCGTCATATGAGATTTAATATGTCTTTATTCCATTTATCTCTCTTGTTCTGTCTCTCTTCTCTCTCTCTTTCTCTCTCTCCCTCCCTCTCTCTCTCTCTCTCTCTCTCTTTCTTTCAGAATTTTTGACAATACATAACATACAATTTACTTGTTGTGTCACAATCTCCTGAAAGAAAAACAGTATTACAAGTCTTTTTATAATACTTTTTAAAATAATTATTGTGTAGGAACTTATTAATTAATAAATTACTTCAGAAGATATAAATTGTAAGAATTTTCAGGAATATATTAATATATTAATTTATGCATAAGCTTTATGTGCACATGTAATACATATTATTTTATATTACCTTTTATTATAATGCAAAATATAGGATGTTAGTAATTTGTTACAGAATATTAGAGACAGAATTAAAATGTACTAATATTATTTCATGCATGTTTTACTGCATGTAATATTATTTTATATTTTTATTATAAATTAGCAAAATGAAGGATGTTAGTAATTTGTTAGAAAATAGAGACAGACCTAAAACATATTCGTAGGAAATATAATATTATATATTATGGGATGTTAGATCTCTTCTTACAGGACATACACATATAAATAAATATAAAAGTTAATAATCAAAATTTATTCTAATCATATACATATATTTTAAATTTTCTAAATGTTACAAATATAACTAATACACTACAGATATACACAGCTCTAGGAGTAAAACTTAAAATTGTTATAATAAACATTTGAAATAATTTTGAACAAATACGATTTAAATTCTAAGTTTCTCTCCAGAACATGCATATAAATAAATACAAAAGTTAATAACTATAATTTATTTTAATTGTAATATACATAAAATCTTTTAAAGAATATTACAAATACTATCAATTTGTATAACTACGAATATACATAGATTTTAGAATTTGTAAAATTTAAAGACTCCTGCATCATACAAGATTAAAAATAACTTTTGATAAATGTTCATCATAAATATATTTCCTTTCCAATTTTTTTAAAACTCATATATTTTATGCATTTCGAAAATATATAATATCATAAAAAAAGAATCTGCTCGAAAAAAATTTGCTCTCGTCTGGTATTCTTTATTATGAATGTATTTTCATTTATAAAACTTTTTTTTTTTAAATCAATATATACAACGCGTGTTTATATAGATCTTTTTTTTGTATAGAACTTATTTTTTTTATAAAACACCATGTTTGTAAACCAACATTTTATGTAAAAAAAAATCACTAATATTAAATTTTATCAATATAAAATTAACTTTAATCGAGTTCAATTCCTTACTTCTTTTTCCAATTTTTAGGATTAGAAAAAGATTAACAGTAAATTAAACCGAGAAAGTTAATCTACATTGATAGAAACAGGCATAAAACGAAAGGGATAATTTTTTTCGAGCGAATTTGGTTTCTACATATGAAATACGTGAAACGTGCAAATTTTAAAAGAGACCAGAGAAGGGATAAACGACGAACATTTTTTCGCTAGCTTTTGAGTATCTTTCTTGATATTCAGAGAATGACAAAGATAAAACAACACTTATGTCGATTTGTGTCATCAAATGGAAAGCACCCTTTTACGATTTACAGAAATTGCAGACAAGTACTATCTAGTGTCCATTTCTTACAGAAATCTATTTACAAAGAAACTACGTGGCGATCAAAACGTCGAAAACGGGTGGTACACTCGCATGAATATCCTCGTCGAGAACACGCACATTCCTTTAGAAACTACCTGTTCAAGTAAACACATGTGTACCTACACGGAATGTGCCGCCGCGCTATATACAAATAAAGTACACAGATGACACGAAATATTTTCCGATTTCGACAATACAATTACAACACAGGAGAGGATCACGAGAGTGACATGAGATCAAGAAAATGAAAATGAGATCGCAGGGACGAGAACGAATGTGAAAACGTGGAACAAGGAAGGGAATACCGATACCTGACCGTGGTAGCCATGTTGCCCTAATCTGCCTTCAGACGAACTTGGGAAATTTGCGGGAGAACTACCTTCCACCTCCGGAACGCGCTACCGATTGTACGGCGCGTTCGAAACGCGATTGGAGACACAATTGGAGGATTGCTTATCGTGATCGCCGTCGCTCGATTTCTCAATCTGACGGCCGAATTCTCCCAAAAAGCGTGTGTCTCAGCGACGATGAGTATCTCCGCTGATACACACCACGCACACCCGTGTCCGTGGCTACCAACGCAATCGTCACACCAACAAATCTCGTTAGACGTTTAAATTTTCAAATCTTCGGAGAAATGGACGGTCCCTCAATTCGCGTGCTTAATGACTCGACCACAAGAGGGAACTGGCGGCAGTGTGATGTATCGGGCACGAAGTACAAATACAATAGCGTGCATAGTGTAGAGAAAGAAATGTAGAGTTTTTATAATAATTTTTCTAAAAACTCTATTATTGTTTTATTACCGTTATTACTATTGTATTGTTAATTATTATTTATTATTATTAATTATATGTTATTATTACATTATCATTATTTATATTCTATTATTATTTACTATTATTATTATATTGTTATTGTAGGAATACTAGAAAACTGTAATTCAATCCATGTAAGGATTCGAGATTTGATTTACGATGGTTATGTTGGAAATGCTTGCATATAATATGTGTAATAAAACAAAGATTCTAATAGACAATAATAAATTATGTATATTATAATATAGAATATATTGTTGAATTCCGTATGGAAAACGAAACAAAATGATCATTTCTTTTACGAAGTAAATATCAAAATTTATAAATGGAAACAAATTATTTTATTCTAATAAAATAAATGAATTTATTACTTTATTGCGTTAATTGCAGTCGACTTACTGTAAGAATCAAAACTTAATATAGAGATAAAGGAAAACAAGAAAATATTTTTACTAATATTTCAATAAACACAAAATTATACAAACTATTATAAACATATTAAAATATGTATAGTATGTAAATAATGTATAGTATGTAAATAATAATTCAATAAATATGTATTATGAATAATTTGTAGAATACATTACATATAGAAATTATATTCCAAACTACATATATTAATGATATTAATTATAATACGTAAACTTAATTTAATATTTAATATATTAATAATAATAAAAAACATAAATAATTTATTGATTCTAAAAATCTCCAAATTTCTCCGATTTTTCCAAATGATCCGACGAATGTAGGAAATTATTTATAATCATATAAATCGTTTATAATTTCCAACGTAGAAGATGATAAATCTAAAAGGGAGCATTCATCCAATTTTATATTTAAGATCGTCTTAGTTTGTTCTTAGGCGAATTATAGATAACATTTAGCTAATGAAATCGTACAGCTTCTCATATCAAACTCGCAATTAATAATTAACTTATTAATAACAAGATTGGAGTATAAATATCACTTGATATTAATAAATTAATATTTATTACATTATGTAATAAACGCATGAAATTACTTTACTTTTATAATTTTTTTCTTTGATTCTGATTATGCCACAGTTTTTCTATTAACATCAGCAGCTTTTCGTACCCGATAGCAACTCAATGAAGCAACTCAATTTCTTTTACAAAAAGCGTAATGAAATAACAATTTACGTTGCGTCACTCACAGCTGTGGTGAAGAGCCTTTTTAAGAAATATTGAAAATATGTCTGATCGGTTTCTTATCTTATCTCTCTCTTTTCTCTATTTAATGTTATATCTTCCCTCTAAAATATCTTAATGCTATATCTTCCTTCTAAAATCGATCTTATATTCATCGATTCTTATATTCATTGCATGTTTATTATTATTCATTTTACTTTTTTTTTGTACTTATAAATCCTCTTTCAAGTTTTTCATAGAAGAGATATTGAAATATTCTGTAATTGATTAAAAATCAATTAAATTTTTTCTCACAGATTTTTCATAAAACAATTTTAAGCCAATTTTAAAAAATAAATGCATCAATTAAGATTCTAGCGATTAAAGATTTTAAGAAAATTCTGGGAACTAAATCTCAAGAATTTCGAAAAACAAATCAATATTTGTTCTTTTTATACACAAATAAACTTCATTTCTTCAAAATTCTTTTTTTATAAATGTTCTAGTGTTAAAAATATAAATAATTAATTGTTCATCGACGCATCCTGTACGTTGTATATTAAATAGTAAAACATCGTATATTAAAAAAATTACGAAATCTACGTTCCTGTATATCGCAACGCAATATTAAAATAATTTTAAAATTTAATTTAATCTAAACTTTTTTAAACTGGAATCTCAAATAATCTTAAGATTTAAAGGAATATATAAAGTATAGTATATTCTTTAAATTAAGTTTTTTATATTATAATTAAGAACAAAACAAGGAATTACACAATAAATTTTTTTAATTTATCTTAAATCTTATATATTATAATTTCAAATTTGTATATGCAAAAATTAGAACGCTATAACTTGTTCTCCATTCTATTTTTCATACTCTTCTTTTAAAAGATTTCAAAGGTGTTATTAATTATAAAATATAAATTATACCTCAAAAAAAGTTATAATCTTCATTTGGTACAAAATGTACAAACGATTTCATATTTTAATAATCTACAATATTAATACAAATAACATAGATATCGTTGCTGCATAAACTTTAAAATTACGAGGATTATGTATTAAAATCTTCGATTAATTCCCTTACCAAGAAAATTAAATATTTATACATATATATTCATACGTACTTACTATTTATAAAAACAATATTTATAGGATAAGAGAAAGAAAGCGACAGCACATTGCTTTCAAACCAAATTTATTTTTCCATAAGATTTCACAATAAATTTCAGTATTATAATCTGCTATAATATTAGCGGTGCGCTGTTGGTCGGACAAAAGAAATAAAACAATTTAGTGTTGTATAATGCATGTTACATTATTACTTAATCTATTGCAATATAATGAATTTATATTACCGCCAGAAGCCAGTACAGACAGACTATACAATTGGAGACAGAGATTCGGAAGCAAAATAAAAGTGAGAGATCCGAATAAAATTGTATAGAATTCACATTCTATACATACTTATAAGTGAAATATTTCGAATGGTGACGAGTTACTTGTACCATTACGGATAATGGTAATGTCTGAAACACACAATAATGTATAGTCATGTAGGATTTTTGCAATATGGCAAGTGCCATATCCAAGAAATACAAATCAAGAGCTTTTCCTAAATTTATTAATTATCGTTCTTGCATTAACCCCTTCGCTACGAGAAGCCACCGTCATAGTTCGCTGGGAAATGTTTTCCCATGTAGACAGAGAAAATTCGAGTCGTCAAATCCCTAAATAAATTTCAGTAATTCCTTACTCGTCGATTCATGATTATATTTGTATAATATGTAAATATATCCAACGCGATGAGAAATTATACATTTCAATTCCGAAACGTCGGAACAGTACTCTTAAATTAGAGTAACGTTTGTCACACCGCAAATATTTATCATTTGCCGTTGCGAAAAGGTTAAAGAACGATATGTAACGCAATACACGAAAGAAAGAACAAATATATTTTGGTAAGCAGTGCGTCTATACTGTTTCTCGATCGCGCTGACCACTAGCCCATCCGCTAAGGATCCACCAAAAGAAAGCAATCCTTTCAATCGTGCGCTCTGTTGACCCCTGCGGTAAAATAAGCAATAGATATAAAATAAGGAAAAAACTTAATCAACATGATCAAAACCACCGATGAATTTCTCACGACTGGCGAATGTGCCGGTCCTCTGAGAAAGGATGTACCATCTCCGTGATAATGTTGAAACATTGGCTTCATACTGTCTGACGATGATGCAACATTGGCGACTCCCATAGACAAAAGTCCGCCGGAGAAATCGATATCGACTCTCAATATGTGTGACGTGCGCCCACGCATTCGAGTAACAAGTATGTATGGTCATGTATACCTACTCCTCAGTTCAAGATAATGGTAGATACAAAGGAATTCAAAGTGTATGCCTTTTTAATTTCCTCTATGCTTTTTCCATTTAGTTCGAATGTCAAATCCTTGACGATGGAAGAAACGTGTTTTGGTGCGATTCGATCTTCTATAGCTTAAAGATTACTTAAAAAGATCATTCACGAATTCCCTCGCCGTAGATTCACCCGAGCGTGACGTTGACACTGTCAAATTCGGTCAAATTGTGAAGTGCTACACTTCCATTCTATATCCCGTTTTTTTCCTTGTGTCATCATTCCTAGTTCATCATTGGATCCTCGATAAAACGGTCCTTTCACAGTAAGCGCTTGTCACGATGATTGACAGTAAGTCGTTTGTCGTTCTCCAGCCTACACGGATGTCCTTCTCTGCTGTCGTTGCACTTGTTACTAGTCAGTAAATACATAAGCCTTGCGTGTTTCCGCGTCCACGGTGGAATCCTCCAACGGCGAATTAGCTTACAGAACCTTTGTTCTCCTTTCACTCCCCTTTATCTCACGTCGAGGACATGAGCATATGCTGCATAATATCGTACTCGATCGTCGAGCCGTCGATCCGTTTTGCGCAGTTAGTGATTTGTGGTTGTTGGTCGAAGAAGAATTGGTCGAACGAGCCTTCATGGCATGGCAATTGCGTTGCTCAGCCGTAGGTAGGTCTCGGCTCAGTAGGGCTGTGAGAACTGTCCTCCGGCTTGCGACTGGCCCGACTGATAAAAACTACTTCGGTCGCCTTGGTAAGTCGAGTCCTGCGATAACAGGCCGTCCATCTGTGATTGAAATTCGCCGACCGCGAACGAGTCCTGAGAAAGTTCTGCCTGACTGAGACCAGGTTGCGAGAGACTGAAACCAGGCTGGGACATGCCTTGAGTTGTGCCTTGCGTCAGTGGCAAACCCGGTTGACTGTACGGTTGTGTGTTTTGCTCGGTTTGACTCAATTTACCCATACGCGGACCTGATTTATTCCTCGCTGAAGCAGTGACGCCACGTCGGTTTCTTTGATTCTGGCGTGCTTGTAATGCTTGCTGATGCTGATTGTAGAAACGCGGCGGCACGTGTGCCATATTCATAAACATACCAACCGGTACGGGCATGTTGTTCATCGCTGCTTGTGCCCGTTCCGGGCTGATGTAGCTGATAGTATCATGAGTACGACTGAAAATGTCGAGCGGCACGTTTCTTTGGTAGTACGGATTGTGATTCTGCGTGCCATTCACTTGAGTGCCAGAACGATCGTACACTGATCCGGGAATCAGGGCTTCGCGCGCATCAT